ATAGTGGGGGTGGAGTTCCAGGTCGGAACTCTCCTGTAGCAAGTCTTAGGGATAGTTGCGCAAGATACCAAGCGCAGGTCGCGTCTGGCTTTTATGCCTTGGGGGATGTCATCGCCATCCCCGTGAGTTTTGTTGTGAGGGCCAGGCTCAGATTTGGTGAACCGGCGGAACGCTATGTGTGTCGTGTTGCCTAATTAACCGTTGGCGTCGCTCACGACAAGCCTCAGAGTCGGACGAAGCGGGCCTCAGGCATAGGTTGTGTGCTCGCTGCTCGACCTCAGTCCGGGTTCGTCGAACGGACCCCGCGGCTCGGTACTCGCTGTCTTGCTGGCACTCGAAGCACGGGGTTCGAGGCCAGTAGGGGGCGAGCGCGTGCCACGGAGCCGCTGTCAGGAAGTGGAAGGGCAACACGAGGCGATGGGGAGGGAAGTCGGTCTCAATGATGACAACATCGGTTTCGATGATGATGTGGCTCGCGTATGAGCTGGGAAATTGTGAGGGAAAAGGGATCGTGCTTAAGGCCCGTTCAATGTCCCACTCACAAACACGTTCGTTTCCAGTCCGAAAGGGGAATTTCAGAGCGTTGGGTCTGGGTCGTGCGAGAAGACAGGTGTTTTTTCACTCCCAATATTCTCGGAACCGTCGATGTCTCAGGCTTTCCTGATCCGTGACGTGGAAGGGAGTCCCATCATCCAAGCTGTCGGAAATTTGCGAGTTTAGACATGGATTCGAGCGTGGGTCTCGCAAACACGTGTGTAGGCGACGCCCTTTTTGGTCGAGCCTAGACGTATGTGCACGAGGGAGGCCTTGTTCGCAATCGGTTGGATCGGATCGACTCACTATCCTTTGGGTGATCATCTATTCCGTCGACATGCCATCCCAACACGTGGCACTTACGCTCTCGAGTGCATGTGCCAGGAAACAGACATCAGGAGGACAATCAGAGGGAAATCACACATTTGAATCAACCATCCACTTCTCTGTCAAAACATACATCAGCCAAGAATGCCGAGTTTTCGTTAGACTTTCCTTTCAATCCAATAAGGAACGGGCAATTAACATGCACACGTGTGATCCGACAGAGATAGTGTCAACAATCGGGTGATTGGTCCGTCTGATAACTTAGTTTCAAAGACGCATTTTGCTATTTTCCCAATACTTATGCATTAATCGAACTCGGGGGCTGTGCGAATTTCCAGAAAAGCATAAACGAGAGATCAACAAAGGTTTATGCATCAAGCCGAAGAAGATCATATCATCATAACCCAAGCTCGCTGAGGTCATGCGCAGACAATCGTCGTACCCAATCTCAACATACTGCAGTAAAACAGGAATGAGGAGGGAAAATCAAGCCGATCACTGAGAAGAACACGAACCAGAGATAGTCATGAGCAAAAGAGGGCAAAGCCATTTAAGAAAGTGACAAATTTTGAAATAAGCTAGCATCCAAAGATTACGGGAGGAGGGGTGAGAGAAGCGTGCGAGTTCATTCCACACACACACCATAAACAGAAAATCCGAAACGATCCGCAAGGAGATCCGAAATGGCCGCAACAATATCGGCCAAGGCTGAAATCAAAATTTATATAGATGGTTAGAGAAAGGCATCGTCCCTCACACATTTCTCTCTCTTTCTCTCTACGCCGCATCACCTCCGATGCGGGCAGTCCGTCGCCTCACACCAATACCGAGTCGTCACCCCGCTTAGTCCGAGCACGCAAGCCAAGTTCGCCCATGCGCCACAGTCCGTCGTGGCCCACACGTCAACCCCGCCTACCCGGCACTAGCTCGTCGGGTCGCCTGACTCCTTTCGGCGCACCTTCCGACTTACTCGTTAGCCGATCCTCACTGACCGCGCTAACTCCCAAATTCATAGAGAGAAAACCAATCGCGCTTGCAAAATTTATAGCGTGCATGCTTGAGCGAGGAACCCAAAATTATGCCTAAGTGAGAGGAAGGGGAAGAGAAGGAAGTGCCTACGCCTGCATGGCCAAGCCGCGGCGTGGGGGACGCAGCCACACTCCATGCATCGATCCGGTCATGCAGTCGCTCAGGCCAATTAGAGTGGAGGACAAGGTATGCACGAAAGAGAGGGAGAAGGCGGGGAAACACTAGAGAATCAAGAAGAAGGAGTACAGTTACAATCGCGCCCGCCAAAAATTACAGTTACACACAGGATGAAGGGCGCGATACAGTCAGAGCCCAGTCCCCACTGCGGTGAGAGGTGCGTAAGCAAGAAGCGCGGGGCAACAAGGTTTCACAGTACCTAAATTCCTAGTGTAAATCCTATTTGCAAAAAGAAATTCCGAAAAGACAGAAAAACAATTCCGAGAGCCCGTGGGGGCTCGATATCAGTTGTAAATTTGAAAAACGACATTCCCGTGCGTCGGTCGCGCTAAAATTCCCATCTCCCACAGCAGAACAAGAAAGAAGCTATGGCAATTATTATTTATCGTGCTCGCTAAGGCGCGGTCACCCAATCGTCTTCGCAGGACTTTTCCAAACCCGGTCCCTAAAGCCAAAAACAAAGAAGCGATGGTATCCATGCAACTTGCCCAGCCGACCCATGTCTATGCACTCCACCCGACCAACCAGTCCCCAACCCCGAAGCCGCTTCGTGCAGAAAGTCGTGCGATTACAGAAAATAGTTCGTCACGTCGGTTGGGTTCGGTTGTTTTTTTTCCTGTGGAGCGGTTACGGTTGGGGAAGAGGGTGTTAAACCACCAGTACTTGGCCCAGCTATTGATCCCCAGCCTGAATATGCCCTGCGTGCCAAGTTTTGCCGAGCCGCCGCCATGCCGTTTCGACTTTCTTTTGGCTGGCGCCTCCAGCCATTGCGGTCCGGTAGGCCGAAGCCCATCAGTCGCGGCACGTTGATGGGAAACGCCCGCGGCTGATGTATGGGCCAAGGCGTGTGGGGGAGGGGGGGCTCGCAGACGTTCCATGTTTTCCCCCTTTATGTTTCCTGTGTTTCCCGACGTTGTCAGTCTTGGCCCGCGACACTCTCACACCGTGCAGCCGAGGGCCCCCCTGCATTCCGAACCACAGCAACACCTCGACGACTGGGACATGGGTGGCCAAGGGCCAACGACATTGAGACAGGGGTGTCTGACAGCATAGATGCCTGCTCTCACACACCTCTGTCTCAATTTCGTCGGCCGTTTGCATTGCCCGTCACTTGATCTTCCTATGCCTGGCCCCCGGTGTTCCCTTGGCTGCGCTACCGCGCCTGGCGCGGTCTATCAATAGGCTCGTGTTGAATTCGGAGGAACATAGGTGTCACTTCTCTCGAGATTGTGCGCTGCGTGTTCTTCGACTTCCAGCGGTCGCTCTGGAATATTGTCTGGAGGGTGTCTAGATTCTAGAACAGTTTCATTTTTCGCCTTGACCGGTCACCGCGCGTTCCTTTGTGTGTGCTGCTTCGCGCGTGGAAGAATCGGTACAGAGGTAACATGGGGTAGTCGGAATTAAAAAAAGAAAAAAAAGACTAGTCGGAATTGATTGCTTATGGGCAGTACGTTTCCTCTTGATTGCCTGGGTTCGAACCGCGTTTTAACCTCTGTAGGTTTGGCATGGAAGTGGCCGCTGCCGAAGAGAGCTCGTGCCTGCGGATCTGAGGGGCCCCGCGCTGATTGGAGCCTTGCTTTGCGCAAATTTGATATTCCCGCCAACAGTTGGACAAGTAGGGTGAGCGGCTTCCGCGCTACTTCTGTCGAAGGAAGGAGAGGTAGTCGACGCGGTCGTTCCAGTTGACCCGCCGGTTACCGGGGCAAGGTACCACTTGCGCAAATTAGGAGATTTCGGCCGTTGATCTTTGCTATCTACGGTCAGTATCGCTTAATATGTGTAAGTGGGACGTAGCCCCCGGACAGCGCGGATCGGAGTCGTCGTGTGCCAGAGTTGCGGATTCCCGCCAGTTCGCGGCAAGACACTTGTTTCTGCTGTGGCTGCGTATTTTGGCTAGCTCATGGCGAGAAACCTCTTCCTGGCATAGCCTCTCGATATTGCTGATCGAGTTTCGTGTCAAGCCGTTCTTTTCTATGAGAATGAACTGGGATTATTCCTATGCTCATGAGCGAATGCCGAAGCACGTAGATGATCTACAAGCATACCCGCTGGCGATCAGACTGTGCTGATCCGAGTCGTTCTGCAGGCACCTGCTTTGGTCCGTTTGGAAGTTCCTGCCGGCGTGGCTTCTTGATGTTTCCGATCGGTCTTTGTGAGCTTTGATAAGAGGGAGCTGGGGTCATTCCTCTCCGTTGGGGGAATCTCAGAGCACTTACGCGATCTGTAAGAAGTCGAGGGATATCAAAGGTAACCTCGATATATTTGGGCGCACAGGCGCTCAGTAGTTTGCTCCATACCCCTCTGACGACTGAAAGGACAGTGAGTGCCATGAATGGGCTGCTATCTTCTGATCGACGAGAAACTTTTCCCCTGCTCTCTGATGCCTTCGCTCGGGAATCGACTCTCCAGATCGCAAGGAGGCCTAGTTGAGAACGGCGAGGTGACTCTGCTTTATTAGTCAACTAGAGAACTCTCGATTGGCCTAGGAGAAGCCTAAAATCGATTCGTGGAGGTTGAGCTGCGTGCCTGTATGCCCCAGCTGAGGTCCACGCGTAGCGTATTTGCATGTTGTAGGAATCAACCAGCAGGTAGATACAGATCGAGGATCGACCTATAGATGCAGGCAAAAAGATAGTCTTTCTTCTTATTTGTGCTGCGGTGTGTTTGTTTGTGTGTGTGTGTGTGTGTGTGTGTGTGTGTGTGTGTGTGTGTGTGTGTGTGTGAGAGAGAGAGAGAGAGAGATGAGCACGCGCGCAAGAGACAAAGAGAGCAGAGCGGGGGGAGAACAGAGAGAGAGGTCAAGAGCTCCCCACCCGCGCGCGTGAGAGGGAGGGAGGGAGGGAGGGAGTGAGAGAGAGAGAGAGACAGAGGAAAGGAGGGGAAGGGCGGAAGGCCGCTGTCGCGTGAAACGTTGGGGGGGGCGGGAGGTGGGGGCAAGGGGATTTGTAGAGGTTAGTTGGCAGAGAACGAAGGCAAGGATTTGTCAATATGGTTAACTCCGAAGACACGAGCACCTGGATAGCTATCGATCTGGGTACGTCGTCGTGTGCCGTCGGGGTTATGCGCGATGGGCGAGTACATATCATCCCGAACGAGAACGGTCAGTTATCGACCCCGTCGTTCGTCGCATTCACAGATACACAGCGCCTGGTAGGAGTGCAAGCGCAGAAGCAAGTTCAGCGGAAACCGCAGAACGTGTTCTTTGAGATCAAAAGGCTCATCGGATGGCCGAACAATCAGTCTCCTGATGGTTATAAATCATGGCCATTCACGGTTGAGAGGGACGACCATGGGAGATTGTGGTTGCAAGTGAGCAGTAAGTTTTTGTCGTCCATTCTTACGGAGAATGATCCATCCCCGAACCAGGGTGGAGATGAAGGCCCGGAGGCGTTTCTTTGGCCGGAGGAAGTGCTGGCAATGCTGTTTGCAAAGATGAAGACCTGCGCGGAGAACTTTCTGTCGGGCGGCCATGCGAAACTAACGAAGGCAGTCGTGACAGTGCCCGGCTGCTACAACGACAGGCAGAGAGAGGCGACGAAGTTGGCGGCAGAGATAGCGGGATTCCGTGAGGTACGACTCGTGCACGAGCCGACTGCGGCCGCGCTCGCGTACGCTCACCACACGGGTTTGTTACCCGCGGGTCCGAACGGACAGGTCGGGAGTGCGCGCCACCTCGGCAGCAAGACTGTCTTGTTCTTTGTTCTGGGGGGGGGATGCTTAGACGTCGCGTTGGTGACCATAGCCGATGGGAGACTGGAAGTGAATGCCGCTACTGGCAACCCCAGTCTAGGAGGGAGAGACTTTGACGATGTTATCGTAGAGATGATCGAGGAGGAGGCTGCAAAGAAATTTGGCGATGGAGTTCGTGTACGGAACCCTCGCCTTCGCCGCAAGATGAAGGTTGCCGCCGAAAAAGCCAAGAAAGATCTTACCTTGCTCCGCGACGCCTCGATCGAAATTGAATCAGTCGTCGGTGAGCAAGACCTCTCTCTACCTATCACGAGGCAGGAGTTCGTTAAGAGGAGTGAACTGCGATTGGAGGAGTGCATAACGGCTGTCCAACAAGTCCTCAATTTGGCAGGTATACCCCCGGAGCAAGTGCAGGAGGTGGTACTCGTGGGTGGTTCTACGCGCATCCCCGAGCTCGTGAATAGACTGAAGGCCTTCTTCGGTGGCCGGGATCCTCGTCCCCACTTCTACCAAGATGAAGCAGTAGTTCACGGCGCTGTGCTCTACACCGTTCGTCCACAGAATTCGATTCGGGAACTCAGTCCGAGTTTCGGAGCAAGAGATGGGCCGACGCTCTATCCTCTGGATAGTGGGCGTTGGATTCCGGCTGTGACACCGACTCCTCTCGCTATGGGACGCTATACTAAGCCAGGGACGAAAATGGAACTACTTGATGCGGTTTGTAGAGAGGTAGTGGCGGATGGTTTCGAGATCGGTCCCGATGGGAACTTGTTCCCCAGTTGTGGCCTCGATGAGAACGGGATCCTCGTGGAGATACACGACAGTCATAAGCCTCGCGCGAGCCCTGCACAGATCACGATTAGGCCTGGTCAGCAGCTTGATTCGAGTGCCTCGCAAGCTGATGCGGCGACGGCGAGTGCCACGGCACCTTCGGCAACGTTTGGCAGTTCTTTCAGGAAAGCTCGGTGCTTGCCTGCGGATATCGCCGTTCTCAAAGGGAATGCTCAAAGAATTATCAATTATGAAGAGAACATTCACAAGGTTAGCGAGGCTAGGCATCGATGGGAGAAGCTTATCGGCGAAGTCGAGAAGAAGTGTGATAGCGGTTCGCATTGGCGGGCCTGGGTCATTAGGGAGGAGATCCACGCGGGGTCGAAATTTCTGGAGCCCTTGTGTCGGAAGGAGGAGGAGTTTAAGGCGCAGTGCAAGGAATTGGAGGAGCTTTGCGAGTATGTGTTCGGTTGCGACCACGGTTTCGGGTTGATGTGGACCAGATCGTCGACTTCGAGGCGAAAGTTCTTCATCGCAGATAACTGGGAAGGCTGTGAAATCCAAGGGACCTTGGACGGTCTACGCCGTGTCGAGCACATGGTGGGTCAAGATATGTGTGACATCGTTGCGTCCGCTCCTATCTTTGCACTTCGTGAAACCAAGGCACAAGTGCAAGATGTTCTGAACGGGCGCATCGAAATGGCCGCGCCCTTCGGCGTGTGTCCGCGTGAGGAGACAGTTTGTACAGATAAGGTGTCTGCGAATTGTCTGCGGACTAACGGCATTCCGTACGTGATAATCAGTGGACAGGAGAGCCCTCGGCAAGTAGTGGACGCTTTGCAGGCAGGGTTACGTGTCATCCTCTGCGTCGGAGGAGGGACTCCCCTAGCTGGCTGCGCGCAAATGCAAGGGGAGGAACTCCAACTGTATGACGACAATCACGACTGGCCCGAATGTGAACGACAGCTTGGAGAGGTTCTACGCGCGGTTGGCAGCGATTGGAGGAATGTTGTGATAGCGTATCAGCCCGCATGGTTTCGAGAACCATGGGCTGGTTATCCTCACCAGACCTGTCCCCAGCATCTCGTTGATGCCGTGGTGCGTGGACATAAAAGAGTAAGGAAAGCGCTGAAGACGACGTTGAACGGTGATGTGGCTGAGTCAACGCGAATCATCTTTGGCGGATTCTTTTCAGACGGCATCTGGAACGCGCTTTCTCAGCAACGCGAGATTGACGGTTTTTTCCTACAGAATGGACTCAAGCATCGGTCGATACTGGCCACGCTTTGCAGGAGACCACCTCCAAAGGAAGAGAGAAATTTCTATCTTATTGGCGATCTAGGAGAGAACCATGTTCGGGAATCGCTGATGGGGGCTGGAAAGCATCTACTAGGAGCTCAAACAAAAGGTTGGCGCACCGTCTTCGCTGTTCCCCCAGCTGAGCGTGGAAAAGTGGATCGCAGTCACTCTGATTGCCGCGACATCTACGATAGAGACGATTTCAAAGTCGGTACCGCTGCCCAGAAAAAAGGGATTATCCGCCTTTCTGTGACGGCCGACAAGGAAGGAACAGGACAACTGGCAGACGAAACTGTGGCGTTGATGGAGTACTACAGGCAATTTCTGCTGAGCGAAAAGGATTGGCTAGATTTTATAATCGTGTATGAGCCCCTCTCGGTTACTAGGGCCGAGACTGCGCCCCACACCCTTGTGGATGTGGCGCACGGATGGATCCGCCGGTGGCTTGGAGAAAAGGTCTCTCCGAAAGTGGCGCACTCGGCGCGAATCGTCTGTCAGCTCACAGACAAAAGATTAACTGCAGAGGCGTTGCGGCGAGTCGCCGTAATGCCGAATGTCGACGGCCTGATGCTGGGGTCATCCATCCTGAGGTCTCTCGCGAAGCACTCGTGCGCTGGCGACTCACAACGGGCCGGGGTCTGCAAGTAGAGGGGGACATTCTTCCATCCGTCCCGCTCAGTAGGGAGAGCGTTTCAGCTCGACTGGCCGTGCATAGTATTGCGCGTCCCCCTATCGGTTCTCTAGAGCTGAAAGTGAATGTAGAAGCTGAGATCTCTCTCTCCCTGCGATTGGATTGACTATCCCTGCGGCAGACGGGGGCCAGAAGTTCTTCTCGGCATGCTGTTTGTAGCTTTCGAGCGTCGCGATTGGTGACAGTCCTGATGTGGTCTTGCTTAGGTCAGACTAGCAAGGAAACGAAATACGGCCGCGAACGCACTCAGGTTGGTGGACTTATTGCTTATCTTCGTCTCAGTCTCTGACCAGCAATTATAGCCCCAATTAGAGACCCATGCAGGGAAATCAAATCGATGGCAAGTTGATTGCTCTTAGGAGCTGACGAGTGATTCAGACTTTGATCTTCTCCCGGAGCACGCAGTATCTGTCTTTAATTTCTAATGTTAAACATCACCGCCTGGGCTCTATCCCGGGGCTGGTAGGGGCAGCCCTGGGATCGGTTTCTGCTGTGAGAGTGATCCAATCTTTTGGCGGGGAGCTGCACTCCCGTAGCATGCACTTTGAAACCATATTCTAATTGCTTCTCTTTACGCACGTGTCCCATCACAGATCCTGCAGCTGGCCGTCGTCACGTCCAGGTGCACTGGGAGAGGGGCATTTTCGTAGCTGCAATGTATTCAGTGCGGCGAAGCTGTTTCTCCCTTGTTGTTTTCCGCCGGCTTCGAGGACAACACTTGACGATTTTTAAGGGGAGAAATCCTATTGAGGGAGGGAGAATGGGCATATGCCAGCGGCGTTGCCAGAAGACGCGCATCGTCGTGATATGGATGAGGGCAGAAAAATAAGAGAAATAACACTCGCATGTTCGCTGATCAACTGATGGTGGGGACTTACTTATCACATCCTCCTCCTTGTGATTCTCCTCGACTCCTCTCTCCTGCTTCCTTGGCCGAACTGAGCTCAGCGATCGCAACAGTAAGGAACTATCTTGGCTTTAAAAAAAAGACGTGTTTGGCGTTAGAGTGATCAGAAAGCTCTCGTCGTTTGTTTCTTGATTGCATCTCTCCTTCCTCCCTGACTTTCTTCAATCTGCGTAGCAGCAGATTTGTTAACAGACAGAGTTGTCAATGTCGTATATTACATAGTCCCCCGCGTTATGCGCGCCATCGTCATCAATTTAACCAGCCCGCCTATCCCGCTCGATTACAGCCATGATGATATTAGGGGCTTGTGTCCAAAAGACGAATGCAGAGGTCGTGATGTCAGAATTGAGAGTAATACCAACTGTATTAAGGGTTACAGAGACTGCAGTCGTACCGGCAGTGCCAGAAATGGTGGCAAGACCAGCTGCAGTAAGTGATCCGAACTATCTTGGCAAAGAAACTGTGTGTATTTGAATTTTTGAGTGAGGAGAAGGCTGGCTCTTGTGCTCCATTTGGTCTCTCGAGTTTTGCTTTCTCTCCTGGCTCGCTGACTTTATCGCGCTTTGGGTGATAGCAGCAGATTTGCTAACAGAGGGAGCTGTCAATGCCGTGGAGTGAGTCGGACTATCCTCGCTAGGGTGGTGTATGTTTCACGTTTGACTGTTGAGAAAGCTCCTTTTCCTCGTTTGTTTTCTTAATGATTGCTTCTTTACTGCTCACCTGACTTTCGTTCCTGGCTTGGAAGGGTAGCAGCAGATTTGTAGCAGGCGGAGCTGTCAATTTCAAAGACTATGTAGCATGTAGTATTGTACGATTAGCTTCTTCCTACTCATATAACGCCCCATTATTAGCTTGTTCCCACTCACAGAACGCCCCACTATCATGAACGCAGACAACTTGTCTATCCGGCTTCATTACAGTCGTGATGGTGGGTTCGTGTGTTCCAGGGGAAGAGTGAAGCGGCCTTGATAGCAGTAATGATAGTAATACCACCTGCACTAAGGGTATCAGAAATAGTAGTAGCGGCAGAGGTAGTCTTGGAAGAAGTGGTAGAACCAACAGCAACTGCAGTAGTCAAAACTGGCATGGATATAGCAATAGCACTCACGGCCACATCTATATTTCACTACCAGTAGTAGCAGTATGATTTCTCACAGTACTAGCATGACGAGTAACAGGGGTGGTTTCTGAAACTATAGCAAAAGTAAAATAGGAGCATATGCAACATCAGCAGCCGTAGAAGTAAAAGCAGTGGCAGTACGAACAGTACTGGCAGGATCTAATGGGACTAGAAGCAATAAGACTGGAGCCAAGACTCGCACCAAAAGGAGCAGACAGAGCAGTAGCAGTGGCACGAGTGGTAGGAAGAGTTCCAGAAGCAGCAGCAGCAGAGTAATGACGGTTGCACCAGTAGGAAGTAGGAAGGATTGTTTGGACCACTACCTGGAGAAAGGATAACCGGAGCATCAGTGTCATCTTCATAGTAGTAGCTGTGGTTGTGTTGATGCTTGTGGTGGTAGTAGTAGTAGTAGTAGTAGTAGCAGCAGCAGTAGTAGTAGCAGTAGCAGCGCATCTGTAGCAGTAGGAGTAGTAGCAATAGCAGTAGTAGCAGCAGTAGCAGTAGTAGGATCAGCAGTAGCAGTGCAGCTGTAGCAGTAGTAGTAGCAATAGCAGTAGTAGCAGCAGTAGCAGTAG